TCCTCTAGTTATCTTGTTCCATCTCATGTAACTAAGAGTTCGAGTTCCAAAAACTATGCAATGTGGAAAAGAGTAAGAAAGAAACGGAAAACATAATAAAACGAAGTCAGATTTGAGAGTCAGACTAAACAAACCTCTCAGTAGCAGACGACCGGCTACGAGACCTAAACACCGCCGACATTTTCTTTCTCTGATTCTCGTTAAAAGAGAAAGAAGAGAAACGCTTTGCCTTTAAATATGGTAGTTAAATAATACGACTCATTAAGTTAATTAATTTTCCGACGTCTAGAAAACGCGAATATGTTTGCTTCTAGGTCATGTATGGAAAGGGGTATTGAAATCGAAGAGAGAGTTTCTGTACAAATTTTCCACATAACTCTCGACTTGAATGAGTCGTAGCAATATCATATTCATTGAAACTAACTGAGGGTTTCTTTCGGCTTTCTTTTCCATCCAGACTCTTCATAGAATTCTCTTTGGATTTTACTCGTTTTTGGTCACTGACCTACCAATCCTTTTCGACACGAAATACACATCCGACTAGAAAATAGACTATTTTGAGTTTGGGAGATACTTGGTCGTATGCTAGTGTTTGTTTTTATATCATATAACTATTTTTATATCACATTACCAACACAGTCTCTCCATATTTACTATGAGGTTGCTTTTGATAATTGATGTACCCTGATTTTCACCCTCCAGGCACATAGATTCTCTGATGAATTTACTCGCTTTTCATCACTAACTGATCAATCCTTTTCAACACAAGAATACATATGCAACTAGAAAAGAGACCAGACATATATGTCATGGATTGGCTGATCCGCTTTGCCTTAGCAAAGGAGAAACATTTCGATAGATAGTATGATCGGTCAACTTACCAGAGTGACCAGACGATCCTTATTATTGAAGACTAGATCAAATAACCAGAGTAACATACTATCATTTATAAAAAAAAATAGAAAGCATGAATTCAGGTTTTGAAGTTTTCGAACCCAAGAGTTTTGCATCCTCAAGTCCCATCAAAGTGGGAATGAATATGAAAATGTTGAAAACAAAACCAAAAATCCCCACCACATTGACTGCCTGTAGATCAAATCATTCATAGATTTCATTTCAGTTTGGAGCCTAGCTCTTGAAGGTCGCACTTCGGTTCCCGGATGCTGGAAAGGCTTGACGGCGTTTGCCTTGCCCAAACTCTGACTGCTCCGGACCAGCTCCCTTCTTCTGACCTCCTCCTGTTGACTTAGCTTCTTTCTTACCTCCTTGTCTTCCCCTCTGTCCTTCCCCAAATTTCACCTCTTTCCTTGCAGCTTCATAATCAAACGGTTCTATGTTAATAAACTCTGGCTTTTGGGCCTTGCTGTTGCTCTTGTTCATGGAATTAAAGCACTTCTGAAAGTTTGTGGACAACTCCGAGAGAGACATTGGTTCAGCTTCATCTTCCTTCGCACCACTATTGTCTAATAGTATAACATCATCTGCCTCGAAACCAGATACTTTGGACTCTGAAACTCTACCAGAAGTACCAACGATTTCCGAGGCTTCATCTTCTGAATCATCTTTCAATTCTGCCACACCGACTTGCTTGGAAACCGAGGCTGCCATAGTCGTAGAGACTGTTTCAGGCTTTACATGAACCGTTTCAGTAGATGACTTTGACTCGAAACCTTTGTCTGTAAAAGAACGGAACGGCAGGTTTACGGAGGATCTTATCTGTTCGAGCTTATCCTCTTCATTCACCTGCAAACACTTTTATCAATAATTCTGCAACCAAACAACCTCTTCTTGAGTTCTCAGTTGAACAAACTCACCTTATCAGTTCGAATTTTCTTCTTTGAGGCTGCATTTCCGAGTAATGCTCCTAAACCACTGCTTGGTTTCTTGGAGATAACAACAGCCGCAGAAACCTAACAAATAACAGACAGGTTCTTCTGAGTCCAGGATGGATAATAAAGAGCATCAACCAAAAGAAATAACTAGGTGTCACCTTAGTTGAGCCAAACAACCCTGTGCCGAAACCTCTCCCTTCATTAGAATTTGCTGGGCCTGTGATGGGGCCCCTGTTATTAGTCTCAACTTGCAAAGTATTTTCCTTCAAACTAGGAGACGCAGCGTCTTCTGAGTGAAGATACACATCTTTCCTCTCAATAATAGGTTCAATATTCTTATCCATAACCTACAACAAGAGAAGTCCATATTTAAAACAGACATGGAGAATATAGAAAAACAGTAGAGACTAATATTTACTAGAGGTAGAAAGCACAGGAGCTCTAGGTTCAATCTATCAGATTGAGGTTTCAGTATAACCTCGTTGCTATAAATTTGGATTCACAATTGGTCCATGACATAAAATTCTTCCAACTCTAAGCTCTATCTTTGCAGGTTGAGCAGCAGTGAATTTTATTACCCTAATCTTCTTTCGGATAGCTTATACAACTCAACAAAAAGCTTACAGTTTATAAATTATATAAATCGAAAGGGACAAGAAAAAAATAAACAGAGATATCTTACTGTTCCAAGAGACCAATCTTTTAAAGATTGAGCAGCAGACTCAAATGCTGCATAGTTTTGCATCGATTGCCTGATGACACTGACCACTGAATCAACATTACGCTCAATGTAAGGATGCTTTGACTTCAACATCCGACGCAATTTGCTAACACTAACAGGCTTCTCTTTGGCTATTACAACAGTAACATTATACCAAGTTAGGAATTGCCAAGGAAAATCCACTCACTGGCAGATGGTAAAATTCAACTCTCAGCTATATACCTATTTCAAGAAGAACTTTGTTTGGCAATACATAACCAGTGCTCTCGTCCTCTGCACGTGCAATGAAATCCCGCCATTCACAAAGCCCCTAAAGACAGCAAATTAAAGTGAGCTCCATATAGGATAAGAAAAAGCAGAGTAAGATGCATATTTATTACATCAGACCAGAACATTGTACCGCAACAATGGCGAGTTGAGCTGCACTGAAGCCTGCTGCCTGAAGCCTAACAAAATGCCATGATGATAAAAACAATACCGATAAGTTTACGTAACTCAGAGCTTAAGAGAAGTATAATCATGAACTAATCTTAGCAAATGGAATATCAACAAACACATACACCTCATTTGCTAGAACAGAAACTACGTATTGGAAAAGCAACCCACCCATACACGTGAAGGTAAGAATTCTCGGTCAAAAGCTCTTTCTCATATAGTTGTGTGCACACATCGTAACTGCGCTTGTAGACCTGTAAGAAACAGGAAGTCAAAATGGTCAAAATTTGAATAAGAGAATATTCTTCCTGCGCTATTGTTTCATCTAGGACAATATCATGCATGGCGAAATGCTTTCCAAAGTTACTCTTAAAAAAAGCATAAGAGTGTTGCAAACCTAGAAAATCACCGAGAGGCAGCTAATATACAATACGAACACTGAGAATCCAATTAGTGTACAGTACAACATTACCCACAAATAATGCTGCACAGACTTCCCAAAGTTACTCTTAAAAAACTAATAGAATGTTGCAAACCTAGAGAGTCACTTAGGTTAGGTAGCTAATATACAGTAAGAACAGTCAGTCACACTAGCCTACAAGAGAACATAACCCACCCATATAAACCAAACACACTTGGCTACAAATCATTTTCCACTAACAATGCTATGCCAATCAAAGACAATTATATATTTGTCATGCAAATACAAACATGTAGACGAATAAAAGACATTACAAAAAGGAGCTTGTCAGCATAGTTAAATGACTACCTCAATCAGTGAAGAGTCAGAATCCTCGTCATCCTTTGCCATATTTTGCAGTTCTAGTCTCATTACATCATATATGTACAAAAGATAGTGGGTATCTTCTCTTGCATATCTGCAAGAAAATTCGAAAATATATGAGCTCAAGTCACCTGATGCCAGAACAGTGGTGAATAGACAGGACAGAGAAGAATTGACCTTGTCATTTCCTCTGGAAGGGGACGAATTCTCCAGTCTGCATTTTGGTACCTGCAGAAATAAAAAAACAGACGCCGAAAGACAAGTGAGAAGACTACAGCGAAAAAAGAAAAAAGAATTGGACTAGTAGCCTCCTACGAACTCTTTATTTGCAGTGACTCCACAAAAATGTTGCAAAAGAAACTCCAGGCTATTTCTCTCCAACTTCAGCACCCTTGAGGCCTGCAAGAATCAAAATGTGAACAAACACCTTCCAACTTAAGGAAAAAAGGCAACAAATTCAAATTTCTTTCACGTATTTGCTTCTTAATCATTGCAAAATGAGATCCAAAACTTTTTCACCCAATTTATTGACTGGCGTCTTATAAAGCATACCATAAGTTACTTACAGTCAAGAAATTGTTAAAAGTATCTGCTAAAAGGACAAGTAAAAATTCAGCGCTATGGAAATTGGTGCCAGTTATCACCTTAATTTTGTAAAATTAACTATAGCACATTCTAATAAAAACTTCAGTTAAGTGTACGTTTTAAGGGAGAGGAGTTCTAGTTTTCAATTCCAAGGATAGAGGAAAAAAAAGTAAGAAAGCGGGCTACTCAATTCAAGCCAATAATTGCCCATCATTCTTTTTTCATACCAAACGTTATGGAAAATGGATCTCCTATGTTTTAGTATGATAAGGAATACCACAGAAAAAAAAAGAATGAACCATTGCTGCAACCAAAATCAAACCTGTCCTGTGTCAAAGAGATTGCAGACATAGATGCCGAAGTCCCGTTGAAGCCAAACAATATCTCGATCTGCTCCATGCATTACCTAATTTTATTTACAAAATTCAGAGTGCAGAACAAATATTGTAGGTCTTTTATAAAGGAAATTAATGAATCTCAGGCAAAACCTTTTTCTTTTTAGGGTCTTTGAAAATCTCCCTCAGGTAAGGACCTATTTGAACCCGCAGCTTGAATGTATCAATTATATAGTCCTCTGTTCTGGTGGAAATTTGCATCAAGCATGTCAATCCTTGAAAAGATCGATACTGATTATGCTCCATATCAACCTAAACAGAGCAGAAAAATAAAACAATTATCAGAACAGGGCCTATCTAATCAAGGAACGAATTTTAGGTAGCCCAATAACAGAAACTTTCTATTCTCCAAACCACAATGCTCTCTTTGGTGTACAGTTTTATTTGTAAGAGACTCTACAAAACTGAATGACCAAGTAACAAATCATTACATGATTATAAGAATTATCAAATTTCTTACCAATTCTAAAAAAGATATTATGATCAAACAATGCAATCCACATTGGACTAATAAAAGACAATCAGAAAAACAAATTTACCGCAAACTCTTCAACACTACGCAATTTAGCGACCATCTCTTTCAGATCCTTCACTTCTTGAACAAACTTGAATGGAGTCTCTTCCAATGGGAGGGGCTTCACAGGTTCCATCCCGCTTACATTATCAGTTACGAAGTCAATCGCTGAAAGTTTCTCCTGCATAGTATTATAAACATATTAAAAGAGCAGAAAGTTTGCAATAAAAAGGCCAAATGCAGACAGAAACAACCCCCATAAATAAGAGCATGTGTATTCCCTAGCCATCTTATCATCAATACAATACCGTAAACTTACAGAAGCTAGACTACTAATGAGGGCATACAGAATAAGCTAATGCTAACCAAAATACTACACTATAAGCAGCAAAGGGCTTCTCATTCTACATTCTACATTCCTGAAATTGGTGTTGCGAAAATAAATCTTCTTCGGCCCATCGCATAGAGTCTTGTTCTTTCAAAAGGTCTAACAATATGTCCAAAACATCTAAACAGAAAACATAAAAGACTTCTAACCAGTGGATGCATAAACCGCTGACCGTCCTCGCTCCTCTCCAACCAAACATGCTCAAACGGTAGATTAGCGTTATTAACCAATATGTTGTACTCCTCTTGAGGCTTCTTTATGGTCGGTACATGGAAAGGAACTTTGGCCTTACCAGATAAATTCTTATCCCTCTCTGCCACCTTAACATCAATCATCGAACCCCCACCAGTTACTGCTGAGCCACCAATTCCATTACCGAATGGTTTCTTCTTCTTCCCATAGACCAATTGAAACCCATCCTCCTCACAATTAGACAAAGACCGACCAATTTCCTCTTCTTTCTTCCGAAAACTCTGAAACTCATCCAACGAAACATCGAATCTCTCAAGAAATTCATCGTTGACGTTACAAAGCCAATCATCAGCATCATCCTCATCGACGTTCCCTGGGAACATCATCGATTTGCCCCAAACCTGCGAGGAGTCACCGACCGTTTCGAGAATAGACTGCGAGCTTCGAGAAATCTCATCAATGGGTCGCTTAAACTCGTCGAAGTTGTAGTAAAAATGGAAATCTCTACTCGCCGGAATCACACGAGACGACGATGAGAGTTTCGAGAGAGTAGATGAGAAAGAACCATCGACCAAAGACTCCAGGGATTCGTCGAGGTCCATGTTACCTTCGCTCATTCTCGGCTCGAGAAAGAGAGATCGATCACAATAACTGTCTCTTGGCTTGGCTAGGGTTTTAGGAACAACACCATTGAAAAACAGAACGCTGTGTGGGGAGCTATTTTAGTACACCAAGGGTAATATCGTAACTTGCTCTTCTTACTCTCTATCTCACACTCAGAGCATGATTATCAATAGTGGA